AAGAGACGAAAACCCAATCCCGATGGCAAAACCGGGGGGGGCGGCTTGTTTTACAACGTCGTTGCCAAGCGACGAAAACCCGACTCCGATGGCCAACACCGGGGAGGAAGGGGGGGGGCGCCACAAACAAAAACAACCCCCTCGCCGTACAACAAATATGCACTCACTACCGCGAGAGGGGGGTGGTTAGCACATGGGAGAGGGGGAGAAAGAGAGAGCTAGGAGCTGTGTGGGGTGTTTCTTGTTCGAAACACCCTCGAAAACCCTGGTTGATTATGTAGTAGGCTAGCGGTACTACTGATTTCATACGAGAATTTTCTTATATTGTGGCCCAGATTGATCTGTGTTTCTTTACCCTATTTTCTTATTTTTCGTGGAAATTTGAGCCTATGTTTCTTGAAAAAATTTTCTTAATCGGGGGCGCTAACTGTATTAGACTGCACGGTAGAACCAGACAGTAGCGTAGGGTCCACCGCCGAGCTACGGTAGCTGCGTCTTTCACCGTATTTTTCATTGTGGAGATCTGGTCCTTCTCTGATGGCATTCTCTGGTGATATTATTCATTGTCGACAACAGCACCGTTCCACGCACAAACCAGCAATAACCCATCAACAACAACATCAAGGATGGAAGCAAACCATCAAACCTGACATCTCGATTTATTGACGCAGTGTTGACTGGCAACAACGTGTCACGTAGGTAGGGTAGATGCCGGTGCTATGAAGTCCCGGGCCGTTGCATTCAAACCTATCGTGTACATGGTCATTTCTCCGACCAGTACATATTCAACGGTTTTCAAAGATTGCCTGTCCATCGATTATGGAGGAACTTCGACGCTCTAATTCTAGCGCAGAAGTGAAGGAGTAGAGTCGGCTCAGAGATTTTCAGTAGCTTATATATGTGGTGTGCATACGTGTGTCGCGTAGCAGGATTGTTCCACCTCTCCGTAGGCCAATGTATGTGCATGTGTTTCATGGAAGCACCAGCCGGCGACGCACAGGAACCGCACGTTCTTGTCACCCTTTTTTGAGGTGCTTTCCTTATTTGTCACAACTTGAGTAGCATTCAGCCAGTGCACCCGATATATAGTGACCTCTAGCTGCGTGCTCTTTGCGGACAATGACAATCGTAATATGTACATGTAAAAGTTATGCGCACGCAGCTCACACCGAGAATTGTGTTGGAGGTGCGGGGCAACGACCTAAGTTATGCAAGCCCAGTCAAAACTGACGTATCAAGGCCAGGACATTATCCTCCGTTTCCACCCCGAACTTGAAACGCGCCCGTCGTCACCGGGATCCTTTCGGTGGAGATATGGGTGTCCGTGGTTGAAAGTACCCTACGATCTCTACTCAACACCTGCTTGTGGGGCCGAAATTTGGAAAGCATTGCAGTGTATGAAGACTGCGAGGACGCCCGTCTATAGACTCATACGTTCGCAACCATGCCACCGAGCCCTCTGTGCCAACCAGTGGTGAAAAAACACGACAAAGAGTGGGCACACTCCGAGATGGACCTTTGCTCAAACTTCCACGAACCTCGTTCGTTCTTTCTTCATGGAGTCCCAGCTGACGATACACGTTCGCTGAGCTCATGGGCTACACACGTGGTGAGAAGCTGTTGCTGTTATCTTTTCCGTAAACCGTTCATTTCTTGAGTCTTTACTATCCCGACTTGATGTAGCACAACAATAGACAGCCGTCACCCGCCTGACACGAAAAACCAAAACACAGTTGTCGCAAACTATCGAAGGAAATATACGTTCACGGCTAAAAAGCTGCCGGGAAGATAGAGGCACAGGTCCAGAGGACCACACCGCCCATCGCTCGTTTTCAAGACCTCTCACTAATCAAGAACGACTGAACTACATACAACAGCTCTAAGCTGTTCAAAAACAGAACTCCGTTGCCATCTGGATACCCAACGACTCGCCAAGGCAATAATGGTGTACCACAAGCTAGGGTAGCCACCACAGTTACAGCTGCCACCGTAAGGAAGCAAACTCGAGGCCTGTGTTGAAGCGAATATGCCATACGTTAACATTCTGAGCTATACCTTTAAGATGCTGAAGAGCAACCAAACCTCTACATAACGAGCCACGTGTCAACTAGGGCACAAGACCGACCACACGGCGTAAACATGTCTCTTGATCGTCCATGCAAATGTAGATCCATCCGCTGTTGCCGACGTCGACGCCGAACATACGTCGCTCCACTCCATGCCATCGAAAAAACACAACAAGCAATGAAGTTCAACATCCATGATCTGTGCGCCGGTCCCGATCGCAGTTTCATCGAAGGCCTATGATATTTTATGGTAATGAAAAGACAGAGAGAACAAACCACACATGGCACCAAGCGGCACGTCATCGACCCAGACGATTTCGAGCGCCGGGGGAGAGCGATCACGCAATTTCTGTCACCCTCGACAACACAAAATACCACACACAATTTTCTCGCAGGCAAAACCGCGAGTGGTCCCTAAACTTCAAACAAGAAAGTCGAGATCACCTCGTAACACAAACCGCAGCCTGTTTGACAACTTATTCCAATCAAATGAAAGCCAAGAGGACTGGTTAGCAGTGCGTTCCAAGTTATGCATGCAAAACTGGTAATAACGCGGAAATCTACCTTTCTACATGACTTAACAACAGACAACATGATACAGCGGCAGCGGCAGCAGCAGCAGCAGCAGCAGCAGCAGTTGCCACCGTGAATTCCACCACATCAAGCAAAACTTCGCGCAGAGCTGCCACACAGAAAAGAGCATTTCAAGGTTTATTTTATAATCCTTCAGAACCACCCACCGGGCAGAAGGCCGCCAGGAAAACACGATGGGCCACATCTTGTCTCTTCATGATCGGTAACATGATCTTCGGCGAGGTCGTTGGCTCCCTTGTTCAGCAGGATGCCGACAACGCGCATACAGCCCTTTTGGGCGGCGCACATGAGGGGAGTTCGGCCCGTCGGATCGCCTTGGTTGATGTTTATGACCCCCCTGGTTAGCACGGAATTGATACGCTCGGTGAAACCACGCATTGCGGCCTGGTGCAGTTCGTTCAATGGGCCTCGAGGCAATTTCGGCGGGGTAGGCATCATGGAGAATGGGCGGGAGTGTGTGTTTGGCGGCTGTGTGGCAACGCAAGAGCGTTGTTAAGGGAGGGGGGGGGTCAGGTATCAGTGGGGGGGTGTTGGGGTGGGTTTCCATGAGTTCGTCAAGCATGTACAACTGCAGCAAAAATATACAAGGACCTCATGAAAGACAGCGCCGAATTCAGCGTTCGTTGTTTTTGATTGGAAGAGAAGTATCCAGAAACGGGTAGCCGGGTGGATTATCACCATTTCAGGGTACAATTGGAAATCAACACGACACCAATCTCCGACAGCATCCGCCGTAGATCGCGGCGAAACCAATAAACCGCCGTGTATCCTGTGTCCTGTGCTTCGGAAGCATGATGCACGAGGTAGGTCGTGCCCGTTTTTCTCTCTCTCTGCGCCTGCCTCTCTGTCTCTGTCTGTCTCTGTCTCTCTCTGTCCCTGTGTGCTTTTACTGATCAGCACCGCACCGAACGAATTCGCGCGTCAAGCGAGTCCCACCCTCTGTTGAGAGGGGCCGGTATCCTATGGAGGCGGTGCCCAAGAACGATGAACGAGCGAGCGTTGTTGGTTTGTTTGGTTGTTGTGTATGTGCGGCACACGGTATGTGCGGTATACGGTTTTGTCTGCGGGTTGTATGCTAGAGCGTCGGTCGCCGGGATTGTATGACCATTTCTGGTTACAATATCGACCTCTTCTGGGTATAACGGCAACCAATATCGGTCACACCAGGAGGTCCTAATTCCAGCGGTAGTTATACCCGACGGAGATTTCTTCCGAAATGGGTTTTCCGGCCAATCAGCTGACAGTCTGGGGCAGGTCTGTGGGTGCAAGCGTGTTGATTTCTAACTGTACCCTAAAGTGGTGATTAAGTACCCGGGTATACCCGTTTCTGGTTATTGATCTTGATGGAACCTCCCTTGCATTGAATCTACAGGGGGGGTCGTCAAGATGAAATTTCCCGTTTTTTTTTCCGGGAACGGAAAAGTTTTTTTTTTCTCTCGAGAGCCCGCCGTTCGAATTGCACTCCGTTTTTTGCAGCAGATTCGCAGCGTGCAAACGACAGCGGGCGTCGTCCTGTTTTTCGTGGAAACAAATTTAATGCTGAGTTAGAGCCAGTAGACTGAATTGCCAATCTATGGATTTAGTGGTTTATCACCACCAGGAAATATTTTTTGGAAATCCTGGTACACCTTCCTTGGTGGTCATTTGCACCCCGATCACAAGAAAACCTTCCGATTGGAATTTCACCAATTCCTCCATGCGCTGAAATTTTCTTAGTAAACACGTCAACAAAACATGCCCCAACACTAAACCTAGTATAATATGGAATACTGAACATGAACACTAGAAACGTTTCAGCGCATGGAGGAATTGGTGAAATTCCAAACGGAGGATTTTGTGGTGATCGGGGTGTAAATGACCATCAAGGAAGGTGTACCAGGATTTCCAAAAAATATTTCCTGGTGGTGATTGAGCACTGAATTCCAACATTGGCAATTCAATCTAGTGGCTCTAGCTCAACAAAACAATTGTTTCTACCAAACACAGAACGAAGGCTGCAAAAAACGGAGTGCAATTCGAACGGCGGGCTCTCGAGAGAACAAAACAAAACACTTTTTCGAACCCGGCAAAGAAAACGGAAATGCTAAATACGACACCACCGGTGTCGTATTTAGCATAGACTATATAAAAAGACAAACGTGAGTTTCATCTTGACGACCCCTGTACAGCAGGTCACGAAAGGGAAATCGTAGTGCCAACGCTTGTGTGCAGGCGTGCCGGAAAACACGATTGAAGCGCGCTTTCTGCTGCTCTAAGAGCTGCTGTAGCGCCGGGATTGTATTGAATGGGTACACTCCGCTGCGCGTGCACCTCTAAGTACTGCTGGTGGTGTTGTCGTAGATCCAAAGCATCGACCGCGTTAAAAGGGGTATTATTAACGACCAAAAAATCACGGAACATTTCACGGAACCGTTTTTTCTTGAAAAATTATGGAGGCGTTTTTCCCCAAAATCGTGAAAAGAGGGAGCCGGGATTTTTTGGGGCCTGCTCCTTTCACGGTTCCGGGGAAAAACGCCCCGCTTTTTCCGGGCAGCCGAAGCAGACACCGGTCACGCGTGCTGCCTTCATCACACCACACCTAGACAGCACCCACAACACCCCAAAGTGCTTCCCACGGCAAGTCGACCACCATGGCTGAGCGCGGGAAGCGCCAGGATCCCACAGACCCCGCAGCGCAACGCCGGGAGAAGCGCCGTCGACGAGCTATCGACGAAG